ATAATTTTAGCTTTTTAATAGTAATAGGGATCTATAATAACAAATTCAACATGCTAGCATTGTTTAAGTGTATGTACAGCCTATACATCCTTAATTAGTCTCGTTTTATTCTCGTACAACTAATGACTGTGCTTTGAAATGATCAAAATATTTAAACGTGTAATTTCTGGAATTAATGATGGAGATAATATGTAGGTATTTGTTTACAATTAGATCAGGATGATAACTTCCGTTAACGATTAATTGCATCTTGTCAGTCATTATCAGCGGCTATTTTTTACAATACAAAGATTTCGTTATTGAAGCTTTGGTCGATGATCGTACTTCAACTTTAGGGGGTAATGATAATTCGGCCTTCAATCGTAACTGAACGATAAGACAAGTTTTATATTTCTTAGTATTCAATTATTCAAACGTTCAAACATAAACAAGTTTTTAAAACACTATATTTTATGTATTATCCAATTTTGTCTGTTTTTTTATCATTACAAATGCATCGTGAGGAATTTCGTCAAATTTCTTAACAATATTTTGGGTATTTTATATGCTTTAATTTCATCATCTTAGTTTTCGCGATATAGACCCATATTTAACTATATATTATGTAATAAGTTAGATCTCGAATATTCGAGGCATTGAACTCTTTTAAACCCACGTGCATCCTGCGAGCTTATCGTTCGCCTCTCATGTTTCGCCTGGCGCCCATGAATTTTCGCTAAGTTAGACATTAAAACGTTATTAAAGATTTTTAGTTCACCCGCTATTAGTTGCTGGTATTCTCCGTGATGCTTGTCATTCTCATCGACATTCAATGTTTGATTAATTATAAATGATTAATGTAAAGTGTAATGGAAATAGTTACACCAGATCTTCCCATCAATTTATATGCAAATTCTGAGTGATAACAATTGTGAGATCGGAAGAAACAAACTCATTCACTTATTGCGATTAATTAAATCGATAAACGGTTGAAGAGAGATGTTTAAATTCTTACCTTGATGAGAAACGACAAGTCTTTGATTAGACTGTGAAGCCTGGACTGCGTTTGATAAATGCTAGTTGCGATCCTTAACTCGATCGTAAACTGCTGATCTTGCACGGTTGAAAGAAGTCAATTGCCATGTTAAGATCGTTCAAGAGCGATCCCAGCTTAAGAATCGTTCATGTTTCGCTCCGTCACGATAACGTTTATTACTAAAAAATAAAGTCGATGATGTCGGGGACTTAATTCAATAAGTTCAAGGACTTCCAAAACGTCGCTGTTAGATTACAGATTTTCATACAAAATAAAACTTTTATAATGCCAGTTTAAAAGATTGGTCCAGATCTATTTTATTATGAATAATATTATGTTTGATTAATTACAGTTGTTGGAAATTCGCCAAGGAAAAGCGAGATAAGTAAGATCGCATAGAAGGTTAATGTCAAACACTCAGAAATCGGATAATTACCCATAAATAAAGCCTGACTAATGAGATACATCGACTCGCTACCCTTCGGTAATTGCACTTAGCGGGAGATACTTGTCCCTAGTTATAAGTGATAAATCATGCGAAATATCTCCTGCTTTCTATGTCCTCGGATAATTATAAGTAATTTATCGAACTCCCGCGTCGAACGTCTTTGTTTCCAATTAACTTGTTCATTTTTAATCAATCTTTTATCGTACATTAAATTTCTTTTGCCTGTCATATTTCTGTGGAACAAGATATTGCAAAAAGGATTGAGCAAAATTACATAAAAAATAAAAAAAAAGCGAGAAATCATTTTAATTGCATTGTAAATTATATTTGAGTACAAAACGCTCGCCACGAGCGATGCAGAAATCATTTGAATAACAGAAGTTGTGTTTTAGAGACCGTGTTACATAGGCGCATTTAAACAGCGACATTTCTTATGCCGGGTCGTAATCAGCGGACACAATAGTTCGAGTTAATATATGATAGCATTTTTCCGCTGACGTAGCTGGCCTTTCCGTAACACTGTACACATATATCTATATAATTTGGTATTTACACGTGTAATGAAAATGTCATCAGTGATTTGCATAGTCATTCGGCTTATTTCTAATATTGCTTGTCCTCTTGGCATGTTCGGCTTATCGATTATATGAAAATTGCACGGGAATGGATAATTAATCAGTTTTTTGTGATTAATGATCATATTATTGTAATACTTACACAGATTCTTTCAAAGCTTATTATCGTTATCCTATTACAATAATTCTACTATAATTAGTTAAATTCTGTTTTTCATCAATTTCGTATTTATTTCAAGTTACGTACAGCTCGTAATTTACTTCGGTTTGATCTATTTCTAAATTTAAACTTAAAGGATATGTAAGACATAAATAAATCTCGCGGTTGAACGTACCATCTAGATTACAGCATTATTATTTTTCATCAATTTCGTATTTATTTCAAGTTACATACAGCTCATAATTTACTTCGGTTTGATCTACTTCTAAATTTAAACTTAAAGGATATGTAAGACATAAATAAATCTCGCGGTTGAACGTACCATCTAGATTGCAGCATTAATATCGTCGGCAATCAATCACATTTAGCCAGGAAATGCGAAGGTTACCGGTTTCATAGATTCCGAAAGTCGGTGTCGAGATCTCGTCTAACGTAGCAATGAAAGTAGCATAAAGCCGGTCGTTTCGTAACGACAAGAAAACCGGCTGAGATACGTACTTGCCGTGGCGAAGGTTGGAAAAGTGTGTGCAAGGTGCTCGCCGTGTCCTTGAAATCGGAATCACAGAATTTCAGCCGTAGATCTTAGATGCCGCCAATCAAAAATGAATAATCGTTGCCATCTTCATTATTTATTGCTAAATTTCTGACTAAACACTTGTCAATCTAATTTACATGAAAGGAAAATTACAATTAAATGATGATGGATCGATTTTCTTTGTTACAGAGCGTTCAGTGGTCCAACTATGCGAGAACAATAATAATCGCGTGGATAGCGGAACCGCGTGGCAACCGACCAATCGCAAAAGGGGGGAAGTAAGGTCAGAATCGGTGGTGCGGTGCTAGAAATGCGATTACGGACGTGAATCGTGCTCAGAACGAACGCATCGGTTCCCCGTGAAGACGCGAGAAGAGAGCCCAGTCGTCGCGTAACGCGCAACACGTTGACGCGATCTGTGATCGGTCCGAAGATGAGCACATCCGCGCACTGTTCCCCTTCGAGATCGTCGTTAAGCTGCTGCCAGATTGATCAGAGCAGCCAAGACGACGTCCACGGTGTGACAATCGCAGCGAAAGACGGATATTTTCTTCAAGAGAAACACTCGTTCCCGAAGAGACCAGAAGTGAATCTTGCCTTCTACGACGTTCGGTATTCGGTGAGAGAATGGAACATCCGGAATCTGAGACCGAGTGAGTTTCTTATCATTTCCTGCGTTTTAATGTATCATATTCACCTGCATGTTCCAAGCTATTTTTTATATGTGTATACATAAGGCTGTTCGTTAGCACGGTACCAAGGGCATAAAATTTTACTTTTGGACATCATTTTTTAATGGTCACATCGTTTAAGATTGTAGATATACGAAGTATCTTTTTGCATGCGGTCGTATACGTAAATCAGATTGTGTATGTTGTTCAGAAAGTCCTTAAGTCGGGTCGTACCCATCTGAAAGAATGATCGCAGTAGTATTATAGTCTGCCAACCTTGGTTACTCAATATTATACTTACATATACACAAATATCAGACACACGCTCGAAAGTCGACTTCTACCTATTGTAATACTATTTTGGAGCTATCCCAATACGATTCTTATCTTATGTATCTATAATCGTCCTCATCTCTGATTAATTTTGACTCTGATTTCTGCATCACATTCCATTATTAATTCATGGCACCGTTTTATACAATCATTTTACCTTGGGTCGTGCTTAATCCATAAACAGAAGGCTGTTCCTTTTCTGTTATCATCAACACATCCATCATATTTTAATAATGAGCATTTTAAAGTAGCGTCTCCTTATCGTTTCGCACGGTTTTTGAACTTACTGAAATGTGAATAACACCTTATCTACGACGCAGCAGTTATCTAAACCGAATCAGAAATCGGACGAGTTCCTTGCAAAATATCATTAACCATCTACTTTCACTATACCACAGTCCCTTTCCTTTTACGTACGTGTACCTACCTTAATTCCGTAGATGTTGCATTACAACCGTACATTTCATGCTATCACTGCGATGAAACGATGGTTTCTCTTGCGCGCGTTTCAAATCGTTTACCAACTCCATTAAACAGCGGTGTTCATTTTTCATGAAAGAGTGCAAAGGTACAAGGGAAAGTGAGTTCGGGGGGGACTGTTTGTATTACTGTAATCCAAGACCATCGAAACTACTTGCAATCTGTTGTTATTAGATTGGACAGTCAACTTCGATTATTTTAATTAGAAATCTGTGAAAAAGTGATTTTCAAATAACGTGATACTTTCTTGAAAGGGCTGTAATTAATCTCGTCACCCTTTTATCAATCGTATTCACGGCTCAGTACTTGATGAAAAGTTTGAAGTATTCGGGCCGATCGTTTCTACGCTTTTTAACGTATTAAATGTTCCCGGTTGAGAGAAAGTGGCGTCGAAGTGGTCCTGCGAGTAGCAAAGAAAGTTTTAAATGGAGAAAGTAACGTTGGGCATTTTGAAAAGATCTTGCCGCGCTAGAAACCGGCGGATCGGAAGTATGACTGTACCGTGGGGATAGTTCGCTCAAAAAAAGGATTCAAAGCTTAATCGGTTTTAACTGAGAAGTGAATTTCCTTACAATTTGTCTTCGTGTTTCAGCATCTAATCTACTAGCTGGTACCTCCGTTCTATAACTGAATGAGGTGTTAATCGTTATCACTTTATTAATGTCTTAACGTTCTCGTAAACAACTGTTGATTAATTCCTAGGACAATTGATTTACAATGCGCTTCCACAGTGATAATAATTTATTACCTCTCATTTTTAAATGATATGTATCATGTTATATCACTATTCTTTTTTGTCCATTTGTGTTTACTGATACTCAATTAACAGTGACTTGCTGTTTTTAATTGGAGACGTACAATATTTTTTCAACTATGAAAGTATTCAAAGTTCAGTTGCAATTTTCTATGTTAAATTATATTTCATTTGAATTGAATTCTGTCCATTGCGTTCGCCGAGTGTCACGAACTATCGTATTACATTATTCTTGTAATTTTTCAATGTTAACCCGAGCCGACCTTTTCATATTCTTTTTTACAATTTTCTAATGCTAAAGAAATCACATAAATAGGATACAAATTCATGATATTATGTCATACTCGTCATTACCTAAGACATTCTTCTCCATCTTACCGGTACTCTTTTTTCTATTTTATTAACATATTAACAAAGGCCCACCTAGGCTCTGCTACTTGTCATCAATAAAATCGTGCATGAATAATATTCTGTCGAACGTGGATCGGCCGTACGCAAAGTTTAGTCGGTCGTATCCGTTCGCAAGGTTCTTTGTATTATTCATGGGCCGGTAAAGGAAAAGATACGTCATCAGTCACGGCACGGCATGGAAAAAACAATAATCAGGGTTGCGCGGTCAACAAACGCACGGGTTACACGTTCTCGTCATTTCTTTCCTTTGTCAATTTTTGCCTCCGATTCGATTAGTATAACTCGTGGAAAATACCTGGTATCTCCGAGACTAATTTGACTTAGATGGACATTAATGTATCGACTTTTTTCTATGGTATCTGGTTTTAGGAATTTTTCTGAATATCAACAACTCCATTATTCCACGAATCCATAGATTTCTAAAATTCATACTAAACAGGATATTCATACGTTTTTTTCTACTGCGTCGTCGGCCAGGAATCACCGATATAATTGTTATCTGTGAACGATAACGGGACAGAATTTCGCGTTACGCTTTTGTCGGTGCCGCGAACGAAATGAGTAAACCGCGCATATAAGTCAGCTTTAATGGTTAAAAGCACCTTTTGCAAGTGGACATAATTTATCAAGCCGCTATTCCTATTCACGTCACGTGCACAGCCGGGTAAAAAAGAAGATGGAAAGGCAAGGTATCGAACAGCTTTTTGTCGGGGGGCATGTCGAACGATGGGAGAACGATTCGTCATATGAAATGCATACTGTTGTTACGCACGTACACCGCGTGTCGTCATGTATTTACCGACCTCCGAACGGAAACGGAATGACATTATTCCGAACGCGGTAACATTATTCGGAACTCCTATATATAATAGGCGGACGACATTCTATAAATTTATCACCAATTTCGTTTATTTGTGTTCTACATAAAATTAAACGCGTAAAATTTGGAAAACCTTAAAATAAAGCTGAAATTTTTACACGAGACGAAGCGTCAAGAATTATTATTATTATTAGTAGTAGTAGACTTCAGATTTGATGTATTCATAAAAAGATGACTACATTTCTGTATGTTTTTTATTTCGCATAAATTTTCACAGTTTTATATTATAAAACCTTCTAAGCTTTAATCTTGATTTGTTGAAGTACAAGAATGTATTAATTCCTATCAAATATGAAATTCCTGCGGCTAGTGCTGTTGGTGTTGTACAGTTAAATTTTTTCTGTATTATGCACAATATACAAAATTTATCTTGTCATTGATACAGAAAATAAAGCAGAATACAAGTATTTTACGCAATTACGAATGTATTTATAACAGACCTTATCTATGAATAATCGACAAGTCGATCAAAAACCAGTTCTGCTACCATAACGTATTATTCCGACAAACTTAATCGACTGGAATGTAATTAAGCTTATTTGCACTTTGCCTGGTCATCATAAACCGCACTTCGTGACCTACATACATAAAGTTTTTCAAAACATTGACAATACAGTAAGCTCGGCAATAATTATGATAATACAGTTAAGAACGATTCGTTGTCTGAATGAATAGGAGTTGTGAGTTGTTGAAAGAATTCGCTGGAAAGGAACAGCTGAAAAAGCTGTTTTTTTTTTTCAAACGCAAGAAATGGACGGCGTTGCTAAGGAGGATACCCATCGACACTTCGCGTCGTTAATTCTTTTTTTCCTGTTACTAATCACTGTAGAAAAAGTTAAATCGAATGATTCCAGTTATTGTTTTTGCGACGGAGTATCCAATAATTTAACTAGCTTTCGATTAGTTCGTTAATGAGGAAAGGCGATTACATCATTAACGAATGTTTTAATCCAGACAATTTTCTGAGAAGCGTATTAGATTATCGATTGTATGCGTTTATAAGAAATTTAATTACACCAAAAGCATAAAAATGCACATAATTTGCAGACTTGTGCAAAACAAATATCTCGAAGTCTGAAGGGTAAAAGGAATTCTTTTTCAATTGATATTGAAAGACGCACGTTCGGTGGATAACAAATTTGATCTTTGTATATTGTTATGCAATCGTTAACGTGGAAGTGACGATTTTCCTCATCCATTTTCTGTCAATCGGTTGATGACGAATCGATCACGCGAATTGCGTTCTCTCCTTTCGAAAGATTTACTTTAACCACGAGATTACAACCGGATGTTATTGGTAAACAGTGATAACAAAATGTTTATCATCCAGAAAATAATCTTATGTTCAATATTTGAATTTTTCTTCGCACGTGCCTCTTGGATTAAAAAAAAGTATACGCACACAAATTCTCGCACGCGACTAACAAGAAGTGCAAGAAGGAAGTAAATTCTGTTAAAAGTTGACAGGTATTGTGACATGTTAAATAATTTATGATACCAATGCTGTAACGATTCATCAGAATACATCAATTACGTCAATCGTTTAGTTGCAATATCAGCGAAAGATCCGTATTCGTGACCGATCGATGACTAAACGCGCATTATCTTGCATGGCGCATGTCACTTTTTGTCTTAACTACTGGATTACCTCATGTGGATGTAGATTCATTTGCTACTGATGACCTGCGAACGAGATTATGATTTTTGTACCGTTAGCAAAATACACTTCGTGAATACGTAGAACTCAGAGAAATAATCTTCAGCTTGACCGGTTTTATAATAAGTATTTAATTGCGCAAATTTATTATTAGCAAACAAATAGGACGATGGAATGATTCGATTGTACATAATATAACGAATTAATGTAATCAATGTGACAATGTGCTAAAAAATGTCGTAGTCGTCGTAGAACACGTCAAAGAAATGCACAGACTGGTTTAAACTGCAGTATAATGAATTTTTTCAATTGGACAAGACGTTGTATAACGCTAGGTAGAAGATGTAGTTCTTTTAATTTTAGCAGTAGAAGTAGAAATAATATTGCAACGCTCTGGGTAGATAAAACATAAATCATTTTTTTGAGGCCTCCAGCCTTGATTGGCCAGCATCTATTCTGTTTGTGGCATGACGAAGTCTCAGACTTCAGTGCATTGAAGATGTTCCATTTACAGTCTTGCTGAAATTGGTAAAATTGCTAAAATTGATTCTGTTTTCCCATTTGCCAATCGTTCAGCTTAAATGACGAGTCGCAAGACTCATTCGTTTAAAACTTGAATCAAGTTTTAAGGAATCGTGACCTACTTTTGTTACAGAACGCAAAGAGATCCTGCACGGTGTCAGCGGCGAGTTCAACGCTGGCGAACTGGTCGCTATAATGGGCCCTTCTGGGGCCGGAAAGTCAACTTTGCTAAACGTTCTTGCCGCTTATACGTGAGTATGACGATACTTGGATTATATACATATATGATTATGCACACGCGCTTGGATTATAAAACAAAGGCGTTAAGAACCTGATTCATCGCTTATCTCTTGTTATAATAAACTTGAACGTGAAGGATATTTATTCAGCCCGTATTTGGTTTTGTGCTTACGTCGCAAAACGTTCGAGCAACACGGAATGTATTATATTTCCTGGGATCTTTATTATCCATGCACTATATTGAAGTTTTTATCATTTTTACGATTCCGTTACACGCTAGACATGACAGTACAGTTATTCCACTTTAAGCAGATTACTTTACTAAACCTGTGTGTATACCCGACAAAAAAGTAGGTCGGTGCATTGACCATTTGCTCTCTGATGTTATGCGGACACCTCGAGGCTTCTATTCGACACGAGAGATGATCAAAGATTCCGCGAACAATTTAGTATAATCTTTTAATGGGGATTCCCTGCAGCGTTACGTGAGTGACGATTAAAAAATTCCTAAGGATACTCATCGATTCCTTTAAATTCATCACTTATACGCGTTTCGCAATTTGAACATGATCGGCCGGTGAATATCGATCATATTTCTAGAACCGCAAGTCGCGGTTTCCTTGAAATAATCGATTATTGAAATTTATTCGGCGTACGTGCTCGACACCGATAATTCCGGGAGCAATTATGGTTACATATGTTCAGAATCTTGTTCCAAGAATATTGGAGACACGTTTTTCTTGTCTCACGCGAACGCTACAGTCTACACAATATCGGGAACAATTCTCGCTGGCCCTCATTGAAATTACAACGGTGATTGTTCGAAATTTGCACCGTCACTTTTTAATATGGACAGAAGTGTTGATTATGTGTCGCGTCGAGAGATGTTAATACACCGGAGTACGAGATAATTATCATATAGATTTGAATACGGAAGGTCGGTGACAAGTAGACTCTGAGGGAAAAAATCGAATAAAAAGAAACGTATAATATCAAGCGCATAGATAATTCGAATTGGAAATATAATGAACCATCAAGATAATAATAGCTGTGTACAAGAAAAGCGAAGAGGGTTTCATATTCACAATTAAAGCCTAATATTATATCAGTTTTAATCATAAAATTGAATAAATATTTCTTAGCGAGAAAGGCGTTCAGGGGCAGATCTTGGTGAACGGGAAAGTTAGGGTACCATACAGCGAGAGATGGAGGAAGACTTCGTGTTACATACAACAGGACGCTTTGATGCGGTCGAGGATCAGTGTTGGAGAGGCCATGACGATAGCAGCGCATTTAAAACTCGGCTACTCTATCAGTTCCGCCTACAAACATACACAAGTTCGTACCAATTAAATCATGTGAAACGTTATACTAACCGTAATAACATTTGAAAGCTTCCACAATGCGGTGAATGATACTCTTTAGAAATTAAAAAAGAAACAAGCAACGAATTAAAATGAGAGTCATCGTTAATAATTCTTTAATAGTAAGTACGTACATTTGCATAATTGATCTTGATAGTTCTTTGTACGTTCGGTGTAAAATTTTCGACGGAAAGTCTTCAAGATCGTTTCTCGACAGTATATTACAAAAGGGGTGATGTAATTTCTGTTATCAGGTCCTGGAACTGTTAGAAATGTTAGGCTTGAGCCATTGCTATGACACTTTATGCGGAAAGCTGTCCGGTGGACAAAAGAAGCGATTGGACGTCGCTTTGGAACTTTTAAGTAATCCGTCAGTATTATTCCTCGACGAGCCGACTACTGGTAATTACGAAATCTTTTTCAACTAACACTACTGAAAAAATGCTTCACGAATTCGAATAAATTTTGACTAATTACGTAATCGTGTGCATAGTATAATCAGAGACGAAAGGAGAACGTTAAAGTTAAATTAAATCATACTTATAAATTACGAAGTTATCCGACCTTACAAGCTTTATTCTTCTACTCTTCAGAATATGTAAATAATTACTAGTTGGATTGTGCAACCTCCGAGATTCGCTATTTTTTTCGACAATTAATTGAGTAAATCGGAGCTAGTTTTCATAGAATGCTGTTGCGTCCTCTTTACTAACTGTGACCTGCATATTTGCGATTAACACATTAAATGTACGATGCTAACTCTCTTATCTTAATGTATTCCATACGGATTACAAATTGCACGGCCACGATAAACAACATAATCGGAACGCAGCTAATCAATCTGTGACGAATGCGACTAGACGACGTGTGAAATAGTGCTTGGTGAACTTCGTTTCATCGTACAAGGTCTCTAGCGCACGAGATACGCGTATTTCGTAATGCCCAGCATTGTTCCACGGTCTATCGTTTCATTTTAATTTAGTCGGTTTCCGCTAACACAACGAAATTATTCGTCAAGGAAATGAGGCAATTTAAATTGAGCACACAGCGATGATGAACTTTGTAACATTTTACCATGATTAAAAAAACGGTGGTAACATCTTACGTAAATGATTTGAAAAGGTATTTTATTTTAACAGATATGATAATATTTACAAAAGAGATGATCATAAAATACAAACAGTTGTTAATATTTGCAAGAAGAATTAAGCACAGCAGATTTCTTTTTTACGTACGCATAGGATATGTACAACACTTTTATTGTGTATCTTATCTGTACTGTGACCGGACGTGCACTTTTGCAACTGGTCCGAATTTTGCTGCATCATTGCCGACGATGTAATGATGCACAATAGCATTTCCTGAGATTGTTCTAATGACTCGAAGCATGTTGGATCCGTCGTTTTAATTGAACAACATCCGTTAATTTATCGCTAATGAAAAATTTAAAGGAAGAAAATTCGAATAAGAAATTGGTAAATTCTTTTCAGTCCCTCGAATAAATTTCAAGAGGGGATTCATAAATTTCATCCTTAACGTACCAGCTTATGCATAACAATTCCTTATCTACAGTTTCAGAAGCATTATTTTTCTGATACAACCGGTCTTCTGGTTCTAGGTCTGGATTCGTCCTCTTGTAGCCAGTGCATAGCACTGCTGAAGCGACTCGCGAAAATGGAAAGGCGTATGGTGATATGCACGATACACCAGCCAAGCGCGTTGCTTTTAGAGATGTTCGATTCTCTTTACGCGGTCGCCGCTGGATATTGCATATACAGGGGACCCGTCAAATCGTTGTTGCCTCACATGTCCTCGATCGGAGTTGATTGTCCGCCTTACCACAACCCTGCTGACTTTCGTAAGTACCATAATAACGATAATCTTCTCGTACAATGAATCGAATTAGAATTCCTGTTTAAGGATGTATTGGCTATATAGTCAATACCAAAAGTTTATGTACCTTAGAAAAACGCATTTTC